GGAGTTTTTTGTTAATAAAACTCCTAAGTACTCAAAGGTAACAACAACTTTTGTTTATTAGCAGAGGACTCCTTAAGTAAAATGGGGTCTACTCAAGCAACGAAAGGCTTGCTATTCGGCACAGGCTGGCTTCTGATTCGCTGTAATCCTTCATTCTTCTGCTTCTGCCTACTACGTGCTGGGATTACAGGTATGAGCCACCACACCTGACCAATGCATGACTTAGAAAATGAAATCTAGGCTGCTTTTCTTAAAAGGAGGAGGAAGAGGAAGAAGAAGAAGAAGAAGAAAAGATCAGCAGTAATAGGGAGGCAGAAGCAGGCAGATCTCTGTGAGTTCTAGACCAGCCTAGTCTTCATAGTGAGTTCCAGAACAGCCAGAGCTACACAGAGACCGGGCCTCAGGAAACAAAACAAACACAAAGACAAGGGCTAGAGATGTGAGTCAATATAAAGAACTTGTCTAGCATGCACTAGGAACAGGCTTGGAGACACACATGGTGGTTCCCACTTGAAATCCTAGCTCTTAGGAGACTGAGGCAAGAGAACAAGCTCAGGTTCAGCCTCAACTATGTGATAAGACCTTCTCTCAAAACAGTAAACAAACAAAACACACACGCACACAAACCCAAGGCGCTGAGTTTCAGCAGCAACACAAGAAAAAGTGTACGTGCCTACTAGGAAGAGAAATGAAAAAACATAGTCCATGTGCTCCTGTTAGTGTTATTCAGAATTGACAAAAGCTGTCTGTAACCCAAGAGTCCATTAATTGGGACTGGAGAGATGGCTCAACAGTTAGGAGCACCTGTTGATCTTCCAGAGGATCTGAGTTCAGTTTCCAGGACCCAAGTCAGGTGGCTCACAACTCTGTGTATCTCTGTCTCCAAGGGATGAATGGGCATCCCCATACACATGGTACCCACTCATATCTATACACACAAATAAATAAAAATAATAAGTATTTTTAAAAATTTTTATTTACTTATTTTATATATTCTATCTGTGTTTATGCCTGCATGACAGAAGAGGGACTTACATTCAAGTGGGGATGGTTGGGAGCCACTATGTGGTTGCTGGGAATTGAACTCAGAACCTCTGGAAGAGCAGACAGTGCTTTTATCCACTGAGCCATCTCACCAGCCCATTAATAAGTATTTTTAAAAGGTCAATTCACTGGTAAATAAATAAACATGTTATCAGAGAATATTGTTCAACAGTGAGGAAATGCTATAAGAAACTATGAAATCAGTCAGATGTGGTGGCTCATGCCTGTAATCCCAGCACTCTGGGAGGTGGCAGAAGCAGGTGATCTCTGTGAGTTCGAGGCCAGCCTGGCCTACAAAGTGAGTCCAGGACAGCCAAGACTACACAGAGAAACCCTGTCTCAAAACAAACAAACAAAAAAGAAACCATGAAACCAACATATTACGTAAAGAAGGTAGGGGACAGAATAATGGTTTCGTGGCTAAGAATATCTTCCAGAAGACCCAGGTTTAGTTCTCAGCACCCACATGTCATGTTGCCTCACAATGGCCCATAATGCCAGTCCCAGGGGATCCGATGCCCTCTTCTGGCCTCCATGGGCAGCAAGCACCTCATGGTGCACATACATGCTCACATGTACAACACTCATACACGCAAAAATAAATCTTAAAAAAATGGAGATTACTCAAAACTTAACATTTAAGATGAAAGAAAGAAAGCAAGCAGGGATAGGGGTGACAGTCCACTTGAGTGACTGAGGCAAGAGGATTAGGGGAAGTTTGAGACCAGCCAGGTCAACATATAGACTCCACCTCAAAGAATCAAAAACAACAACAGAAAACCCAGAACTGTCTGTTTAGATGAGATGTTGGGAAAGTCAAATCCATGGAGACAAAGGGAAAACGAGAGAGTGGTTGCTTTCGGTAAGAGGGGACTCAGAATGAGCAGAAGGAATCCTTTTGGAGATGGCCCAATAGTTGCACAATTCTACCAACGTTGTAAAATGAAATGAGTCGTAGCACTTAAAATAAATGAGTTAACGGTGTGTAAATTAATAAGTCTCCTGTTTTAAAAGAAGAATCTGGGTGGCTGCAGACTGATCAGCTCTTAAAGAGTACTGGCTGCTCTTACAGGGGATCTAAGTTCTACTCCCAGCAACACATGGCAGCTAACAGTCTGTGAGGTTCCGGTCCTGATGCCCTCTTCTGGCCTCCATGAGCACTGCATGCGTGCTACGAACCCGTATTTATTTATGCGGGCAAAACACCTATATATGTAAAATGAAAATAAATAAGCCAGCCAGCAGATGCCAAGACTAAGTGGGATCCTTAAAATAAATAAATAAAAAATAAAAAGACTGGCGTTTCCACTGCTCACTTAATAGGCTGGCCATGCCAGCACAGTGTTGTAACCCCAGCTCCCGACCTGGCAGAAACGTGACAATGCTGGGCTGGCTGCTTTCTAGTCTACCTGAAAGAACACAAACTGAGGTTCAGGGAGAGACACTACCTCAAAGGAATAGATAGAGAGGGCACCTGACACCCTACTCTGACTTCTGTGAGCACACACAGAGGCACGTACACATTCACACAGACACTCACACATAAATAAATCTTAAACAAGCAAACAAAAAGAAACGAGAAGCCTTGGCCATTTTGGCTTAGGAAGAAAATTTTTTTACTACTTTATTTTGTTGTTTTATAAAACCGGTACTCTATCTTTAAAACAATCTTCCAACCACTTAAAATTTTTATTTACACTCAAAATACAGCATCCGTCCTCCTTTCTATGATACATGTGCTTTCTTTTCTTTTCTTTTCTTTTTTTTTTTTTTTTTTTTGAGATAGGGTCTCATGTAGCCTTGGCTGGGCCCAAAAGCACTATGTAGCCAAAGATGGTTCTGCAGCCACACCAAGTGCTAGGATTATAGGCATGTGTTAAGCGGCTGTTATTATGTTAGTTTCAAAATAAATTAAGTTCCAGTTGTTGAATCTGAAAGGTGTTTATATTGAGCCAAATGAATGAAACTTTATGGCTCAACCTTTGAGATGAGCAGGAGACCTAAGCCAGGCCATTCTCTCTCACTCTGCCTCTGAAGCCTCCCTTCCAGCAAAACACGGCTGGGTCCACACTCCTGCCCGATGCTTTCAAATCAGTCAGCAAGCCCCACCTTTTCCCTTCTGGTTGCTACTTGTCTCATGATCTCTCCTGGCCCGCTGTGCTAGTGTTCTGAGCAGCCTGCTCATTCTACCCTGCTAATCCATTATTCAGACACAGCCAGCATGATCTTTCTCACACTGACCCTCGAATGCCCCCGCTTCCACATTTCCAAAAGCTGCTCACCAGCAGGGTGAGGTCTGTTTAAGTTGGCATCCGACTTTTGACCACCCTGGCTATGCCTGTCATTTTAGCAGCTTGGCACTTCCTCCATGAGGAATTACTTGTGCTTCCCCAAACCAGCCTGTTTTTCGGCCTCTGGGCCTTTCCCCGTTATTTTCTATGCTTAGACAGCTACGCCTCAGCAAGTGTTTGTTGAACTTGTAGCAGAAGTTGGGCGTGCAGGAAGCTGAGAAGATAAGCGCATGAGGCAGCTCTCTGGTTGGTGGGAGACACAGAAGATGTTGGGCAGGCTGCTGAGATGATTCTGCTGACTGGTGTTGGCAGGCATGCCACCTGAGTCTTCCATTCCTTCCCCTGGACCCCACATGATGGAGAGAACTGACTTCCGTAAGTTGTCCTCTTACAAATTATGAAATACAGGCCAGGCAGTGGTGGCTCACACCTTTAATCGAGCTCTTCGGGAGGCACAGGCTGGCAGATCTTCTGCTCTCTTAGTTCGAGGCCAGCCTGGTCTACAGAGTCAGTCCCAGGCCAGCTAAGGTTCCACAGAGAAACCCTGTCTTGGAAAACCAAAAACCAAACCAAACCAAACCAGAAACAAACAAACAGGAACTACCCCCCCCCCCAAAAAAAAAAAAAAACCAAAAAAATAACAAAAAACTCAAAACCTTTCTTTTTTTCTTTTTCTTTTTTTTTTTTAGTGTGGTGGCTGGCTCACATCTGTCATCCTACCTTTCTGGAGGCTGAGGCAGGAGGATGAGCCTGGACTATGCAGTCAGAGCCTGCTCCTCCTTACCCAGTAAAAGCCAACCGCTGCCACTATAAAGCATCAGTCTTGATCTTCAGGTGAGTGTCTTTGCGACCTTGGGCAGATGACTCCCGGAGTCTATACCCCTGAGAAACCGCAGTAAGGCCGGCCCAGGGTTAGGGAGGATTTCTTGAGGTACTACCCTGTTTCCACTTGGCAGGCCCCACTCCCTCTCACCCCCGCCCCCACCTGAGTCTCCGCCTCCAGAGACTGCCGCAGCCACGGGGGGGCGCGTACCTGCCACCACTGTCCAACCATGGAGCCAGCGGCCAGGCCTGGGCGTCCAGCAGGGGAGTGCTCCGCCCCATCGCCCCACTTCAGGGGACAGCCCCTCTGGCTCCCTCCCGCCCCCGCCAGTGAATCACGAGGGGCGGGGCCATGACCCATTCATGCTGAGAATCGGATCCAGATGTTCCCCCGGCGCACGCAGCTGCATCCTTGCCTTTTTTGGCAAAAAAAACGTGCGGCCCTGAGCTGATCTTGAGCCGCCCCAATTAATCCTTGGGTAGAGGGGGAAGGAGGTTGAGGGTCTGGGCCCAACTAGGGATCAGAACTTGTGCTTGTATGTCGGGCTGAGGCAGGGCTGTTGGGGGTGGGGGAAGATGTGGACCAGACGGAGAAACCCACTGCCATTCGGTTTGGCACCTCTCCCAATCCCTCCCTCCCAGAGGAAAAAGCCCTCCGCCAGCCAGTGGGGAGGCTGGCCAAGCTCTGAGAGGGACTAGTGTGGCTGCCAGAAGGGATCCTCTTCCTGGGGAAGAGAATCCCCACCCTAAGGCCCGCCCACTAGGAGTTTTACAAAAGCCTGACTCAGCCGAGGAACCTTCCTTCACCCTCCAGACAAACACACACACGGGGCCTGTGCTCCCTCACACTTGTTTTATTGCAGATTCTGGAAGCCCAGTGGGCCACCCCGTGCTGCCCATCTCTGGGCAACGTGGAGCTGAAATAACGTGGTACTCATAGGCTGGACAGCACCCTGTACCTTACTCTAACCAGGGAACCCCTCTAATCTGCTATCCAGACGACTTCAGCCCAGAGATGGGGGTGAGGTCAAACTGCGGTACAATGTGTTTTTTAAGACTTCTCAGGCACCCACAGGAAATCTAAAAAAATCTACCCAGGAAGTCTAGGTTTAAGGAGACCTAGGTTCCAGAGTCCAGATTTGGAGGGCTGGGTGTCTGGGGCCTTCATCGGGGAGGGAGCTAGATCTGGGAACCCCCCAAAAAAAGTAGAGAAGGGAGGACTCATTTCTGGAGTCCAAACTTGGAGAGAGTTTAAGTCATGGGTGTTCCACAAGCCCAGGTTTCGGGACCTGGGTTAGAGAGTACCAGTGGGCTATACTGGAATTGGGAGGCTGAATCCTTAAGACCCCATGTATAGGGGCTCAAGGGTGGGGTGGGGGCTCTAGGGGAGGGACTGGGTCTCCAAGGTGGTTCAGAGAAGGAGCCATAGTCTTAAATCCTTAGTTTGGGAAAGGGAAAAGTCAGGAGCCTTGGGTTCAGGGCCCTGCTTGGCTGCAGCCCTGGCACAGAACTTGGTCTCCGTCTGGTACGAAGCCTTGGCCCACCAGGGAGGTGGAGCAGCGGGCACAGGAGAAGCAGCTGTGGTGCCAATGTCGGTCTTCGAAGGACACATACTTGCCTCCACCGAGTCCTGGAGGAAGGCTGGAGGTTAGCCTTGCAGACCTGCTGCCCCTCAGCCTCGCCCAGCGTCACGCCCCTGTTCTTACCTGCCCCCTCGCCACTGCCCCCGCCTGTGATGGGGCGCTTGCAGCTGCTGCACTTGGGCGCAAAGAGCTCTCCAAAACAGGCCACGCAGTAGGGATCCTCATCCCGAGATGTGAACTGCTGCCCTGCGAGGGGCGTCTGGCACCCGGTGCAGACCAGGCACTCCCGATGCCAGGGCTGATCTCGGTACGTCACCCCACCCTGGGTCAGCGTCTGTGGGGGCATCACCCATCAGCAGGGGAGTGAGGATTCCCACCCGAAACAGGTCTTACCCTGAGTTCACAGGCCCAGCCCCCACCTTGCTGCAGCGGGCACACCGAGGAGCAAACTTGTTCTCATAGCAAGGCACACAGTAGTGAGAGCCCTTGTCGGGCACGAAGGAGCGGGAGCCCAGCGGCTGCTCACAGCCGCTGCACAGAAAGCAGTGCTCGTGCCATGTCTGGCCTCCGTACTCCAGCTTCCGGGACCCTGTGGGAAACAGGAATCCCACATCGAGTCTGTCCCAAGCTCGTGAGGGCCACTCTGCCCATTCTACTCCCCAAGCCACTTCGTCTATCACCTGGGAGGGCAGTATCCAAGACTCCCGCCATGTGTGTTACATATGCCCGCCTCTCCCCTCAAGCTGGAAGAGACGGTTCAGCACATGCTAAACACATGCGTTAAACCACCATGCCCCTGACGGGACTATCTTGACATACACACCAAATCTCTGTGTAAAATATATATTGTCAGTACATGATAAATAAGCCATTGGATACCAAAAAACAAAACAAAACAAAAACAGTTTGCCAGATCCCATTAACTAGGCAACTCTGCGTACACAAAGCCTGGGAATCGACAGGTTCAGTACATGCTAAGCCTTTTCGTATATTAGGTGTCTCAATCCCCACACATGCTAAGTCTCTACATACCCATTAAGTAATGCACGTCACCATACATTCTTAAGCCTACGATTTTATCACTGCACACAAAACTTGAGTGTGGCAAGACTGAGAATCTCAGTATTCCCCTAGCTCCCACGTGCACCAAACATGCAGGTCTTCACAGGTGCTAAGGCCTGTGTGTATCAAGTATGTTTTATCTGCTATGCACACGGTGAGTGTTTAGGGGTTCGCCGGGCCTACTCATCCAATACGCACCAAGCCTCCAGCCCATCTTTCTCGGCATCTGCCAAGTTTTCATGTGTAGAGCCGGCTGTGCCAATCCCCATGTGCATTAAGCTCCCAAGAGCATACATGCACAACAGATCCACGGGTGCTCCAGGAACATGCAGTGTGTGTAGATCTCTACCCAGGCCAAGCCCCGTGCATGCATAAGTCAGGTAGATGCAAAGAGCCTACTCGGATGGCAGTTCCCAGACCCAGGAAGAGGCCCTCGGACGTACCAGGCATGACCGTCTCCCCACAGGCGGAACACTGTGAAGAGAAGGCTGTGCAGTAGCAGTCGTTACAGAGAAGCTCGCTGTCCTGGCAGGTGAAGGGCTCGTCAGCGAGGGAGCGCTGGCAGCGGCAGCAGCGGAAGCAGCCCTCATGGAAATGGCGATCCTCGTAGAAGAGCTCCTTCCAGGAGACAGAGCAGGGTTGCTAACATCTGGGCTTGGTGGCTATCCGTGGCCCTCTCCCACCAGTCTGCACTTACTCTCCCCCGTTTGGTCCTTACCCTTGAATCATGCCCGATGAGCTGCTGGCACTCGGCGCAGGTGTTGGCGAAGGTGTTGTCGTAGCAGGGAACGCAGTAGGGGCCACTGTCTGTCTGGATGTATTTGCGGCCATACAGGGACTCGTTGCACTTTGCACAGTCAAATGCCTCGCTCATGGTGGTGATGATGAGTAAGCTCTGTTAAGAAGATCGGACAGAGTTCACCTAGATAGGCTCTAGCATAGTCCTACACAGAGCTCTTTGCATTCAAAAAAGAAAGGAGGCACAGAAGATGCCAGATCAGAACAGGTGGGGATGGAGGAGGTCTGCTCCGGGAAACCCCAGTGTCTCGGCTCAGCGCATGCTGGAATCTTCCATGTTTGTTTCTATATTTGACTGTGAGGATAGGAAGGGGTCAGGAAAAAAAATCAGGAAGCAGAGTTGTTTTCTTATCTAGGTCCTGGCTGATCTGGGGGGAGGGGGCTTTTCCTGGGTCAGTGACTCATTTCCTGCCTGGCCTGAGGTTTGCTTCCACTCCCTGTACCGTCCCTAGGGTGCGAAGGCCAGGTCGGGGGGACCACCAACCCTACTGCATACAGCGTCCTCACCTCCTGACTCCCAGGATAGTAAACATAGGACTTTAGATAAGGGGCCATTTACCTCTGATCTGGAAAGTTTCAGGTGGAATGGGCTGTTCTTTGTGCTACCCCCACCCCCAACTCCCTACCGACGACACAGGAAATAGTAGAATGCTAGAGAGATGCTTGACTGATGAATGGTGCAGAGTGGGGTGAGAAGTTGGGCCTCCCCTCCCAGGAGAATCAGCCAAGCAACAAGAGCCTGATGGGCTCAGCCTAGGTTCAGGCAGGAAGGAAACCCTGCCCAGCTGGACCCTCGGCCTCATCCTTCCCACCTCTGCTGTGTCTCTGGTCACACCAGTCTGGGCAGTCTTGGCTGTCACATCTGTTGCAGCTGTGGCAGCACAGAGGGCCAGATGTCAGCTTTTTGCCAACCAGAGGGAGATAAAAGGGAAAAACCCAAGATGTCCGGGAGGCAGAGGGGAAATGAAGGCACAGAGAGAGGGCAGTGTGCCCCCTGCCACCTCTTGCCAGGTGCCTCTGCTGGTAGCTCTGCAAAGCCCCAGGGTCATATGTCACCCCCCTACATCTGGATAGGCAGCCCTTGCCTTATCTTCCCTGATTTCCCAGGGGTTAAGGTCGGAGAAGTGAAAGATGAGAAAGCAAGAGCCCCTGGAGCCCCAGTGGGGTCCCTTCTTGATGGGGAGTAAGACAAGGGGAGCCCCGAGAGCTGTTGTTGCAGACACCCAGCCCCCCACCAAACCCCAGACACTTTCCATTTTCTCAGGAACAAAGCATGTTTGTGGGATGAGGTCACCCACACAGCTGCCTCTGGAACAGGAGCATGAAGAGTGGGGGGGGCAGGGAAATGGGGTTCCCGGTCTCTTCTGCCGGCCAATTCCAGCAAAGTCAGAGTACCCAGGCTCCACCCTCCTCTACTATGAAGCAAGCTCTCCTAGGGCTGGGTAGTGAAGAAGAGCCCCCAGGACCCACAGGAAGGGGACCGAGTCATTGTTGTATAGGAGACTGGAGGAAGTTAAGGGGGCACAAAGGAACCTACCAATCCCCTTCTCCATAGCTTCCCAGACCTAAGATGAAGGAAAAGCACACTCTTCCCTGCCCCCTTCTCAGCCAGGACAGCAGGAAATTCTCACCGAAACCTTGGGTTGCCTTAGAATTCAGACTTCAGGTAGCAAAAGAAATCTCAAACCTGAAAGGCCCACCTCTTTGGGGCTTTTGAGTTTGAACTTTCCCTTCCTCAAAGTGGGAGAACACCTGGTTCACACCCAAAGCAGCAGGACACAAGGTCACCAAAGCTGGAGTCTTCCGAGTGCTGAGTCCTAAGGGAGGGGTTACACTGAAGGATGGAGAGAGCCCCTCTTACTCAGCCCCTCCCTGTCATTCAGGTCCTGGTTTCCCCTGGCCCAGCATCTGAGGCTTGCCTGGGCTGCTAGCCACTAGACAACAGACAGATAGCCTGTGGCCATGTGGCCATTTGTGAGTCTTTCCTTCCGGGCTTGGCCAGCAGCAGCAGCAGCAGCAGCAGCTACCTTCCCAGGCCCGGGCTAGCCCTGGATCCACCCCCTCAGAGCTAGTCACCACACTGAGATGAGGCACCCCAAATAGGGTATGAGCGTGCCTTCTGTTTCCTTCCCAGAATGCCCCAATCCTTTAGTCTATGTCCCTATTTAAGGACAGAGTGAAGGGCACCACCAAGGCCCACCTGTCTCTTCCCATCCTGGTCTCTCCTTCCTCCCCAATCCCTCCCCATTCTCTGGCAAGGCTGAAGGACTAAAGGGGTGAGCAGGGAGTCAGTTTTGTATTTCTTCCTGGCTGGTAGCAGGTGGGGTTTAGAGGAGACAGTGGATCTTCCAGATTTCCAGATGACCCTCATCTGCTATCCTGCCTAACACACATATCGCCATACCTGGCTTACACAACACAACACACACACACACACACACACACACACACACACACACACAGTGAACTAGAGCTGAGTGGCAGGATACCTTTCTGTATGGTGTTCCCTGTATAGCAGCTTGCTTGAGTCCTAAGATATAAGCCTGACTTGGAATCCTGTGACCTTGGGTACGCAGTTTTCTCGACCTGGGACTGTTAGTCCATCTAGTTCAATGAGATAATATTACCTCCCTCTCCTAGGCCTTTTGTCAGGCTTGAATGTGATAATCCCCATAGGGCATCAGGCGGGGAATAGGCCCAAAGAAATGATAGCCACTTGTGAAGTTCCTACAAGGCCCTCACTCCTACTGGAGCCAGGGGGCCTCAGGCAGACCTGAGATGTGACGTAGGGAGTCTCAATCAAGTCTACGGTGTAGCTGAGGGAACCACGGGGCCCGCAGAACCTGGGCACCGGGGAGAGAAACGGTAAAGAGCTTGCAGATGTGTGTTCACAGGTGTACACACTTGTACGAAGCCTTGTGTCTATAAAATGTGTATCCCACCGCCACCACATCCCATCTCACACTCCTCTTTTAGAGTTCATCCAGGACACCAACAGGCTAGGGGCATGACCAAGGCTGCTCGGGAACTGGAGCAGAAGTTTCCTATCCCTCAGCGGGGAGCTCTGCCTAGAAGGGCTTTGATGGTGGTGGAAGGGGCAGTCAGCCTTTAGGGGTGGTGTTGGTGTTTGTACTGGCGGGGGTGGGGGAAGTGGGACGGCGGGACAGGAGATACACTAGAGCTGGCTCTCCTCCCCAGCTGCCAGCCTGCCATTGGAAGACACCCAGAAGTCTTTCCAATCACCCATGCCAACTGCTCAACCCTTTTGTACGCCCCCACCCCCCACCCCAAGTCCACGAGGACCCTGGCTAGGCCCCACAGCTGTGAGTCAGAATCAGAGCAGACCCCTCCCCCTCGACAGGAGACATAAGGGGAGAAATTAGAGGTGCCCCCCACCCCAAACTCTCTCCCACCCCTCTTCCTCACAGCGCCTGGAAGTCAAAGCAGTCTAGGGAAAAGGGGGTAGGGAGCAGATCCAGCAGCTGCTCTGAGGACAGGAGAGGAACATTTCATTCACCCCCGAGTCCCCTAGGGCTGATGCAGAGCGTCCAAGATTTGAGTTTAAAAATAAGTTGGCGCTGTCTTAGTGGTTGTGTGTACACGGGGCTCTTTCTTGAGCTCAGCTTTACAGCCTCAGGTCCTCTCCCTCCTGGGGGATGGGCTGGCTAAGAGTCAATTTCCCCCTAGCTTTGCCTCCACCCTTTCAGGCCTGGGGCAGCTGTCAGTGAGAGCACACAGGTGTCTCTCCTCCGTGAACTCTGGCCTCCCCTCCGCATCTCTCACCTCCCTTAGGCTGCTGTCTTTGTGTTTGGGTGGGGGTGTTCCAGTGGGGCCTCCACTCTGGGGATCTTTATCCCTGTGCACCCAAGTCTTGGTCTCTCAGCGTCTCAGACTCTGAAAATCTCTTCAGGCCTCAGGGAGGCAGATTTTGCAGTAGTCTAACAAGCTTCTGCCTTAGGGCCCTCCAAGGCCCTGGGAAGGGCGCTAGCAATGAGTTCCCTAGGGTCAACCATTTGCGTCTTAAAATGCTCCACAGAACCCGGGTCCCCGCCGCGCCCGGAGAACTTTGTAGGGCCATTCTCTGCCCCCGTTTGAATGGTCCCTGGAGCCTCCTGGGGCGTGCGTCCTTGCCGGTTCTACCCGGTTCTCTAACAGCCTCAGTTTCTCCAACCCTGCTGATCTCTATAGATTTTCTAGTTAAAACTTGGTCCCCACCCCCTGTAACTCTGGCCCGGAGGCGCGGAGCGGTGAGGTTCGGTGCTGGCACGCGTGGTCCCGAGTTCGGGGTGCCCCAGCAGGGGACAGGGGCGGGGTCCCGGGCAGCGACCCTGGCCCGAGCGCAGCGCGGGAACCGGGGGCTGGAAGCTGGGAGGGGGACGCTCACCTCAAAGCGGGCGCGGGAGCTGGGCGCGCGCGGCGTGGGTGGGGCCGGGAGCCGATCGCCCGGCGGCTCCTACCTGCGGGCCGGGCGGAGGGGCCGAGAGAGCCGCGGCGAAGTAGCCAGCCGCGACGGACTGTGTGGGCGAGTGGGCGCGCGGCCCTAAGCCTCCGAGGAAGTGCGAGGGCCCGCCCCGCCCGGACCCCGCCCCCGGGCCCCCAACCCGCTCGCGGGGGCCAGACCCCGCCCCCCTCCTGCCTGCCGAGAGCCCGACGCTGCCGAACCTGGCGCTCGGACCTTCTCGGCCCCGCCTTGCCCGCCCCCTGCAGCCTGACCCGTCCGTTTCTCCCCCCTCCCTCCGGGCCCCTCGGACCCGTGAGGACTGCTGGAAGAGCTCCCAGGCCATGGGTGTCGGACATCTAGGACCGGGGTCCATCTGGGGACCAGACCCCTTCCTCTTCTCCCCCACCTCATCCCCAGACCTTACTCTAAACCTTAAGCTTATGAAGGAGGCCTCAATCCAGCCTGTGGGCGGGGGTGGCTTGATTCTGCTTTACCGCTGGAGATCAAGGTATTTTCTAGAAACTGGGGCTCAAACGAGCGAGAGAGCCTTTATCCTCCTCAGTTTCAAAGGACTTTTATTCTATAAGTGAGTGGCGAAAGCCCAGGCAACAACCTTCCCATCCTCAGCTGTGACCTGGCACTGACGCTTCTAAAGTGCCCAGGAATAGTTTTGACCTTTGAGGCTCAGGGAGACCCTAATCCTCAGCCCCGTGAGCTTTGGTTTCTCGGGCGGGAGGGGTGTGGAGATTCTGAGTGGTTGGGTTGCTGCAGGCAGGAGATGTGAAGAAGGGAGGGGACCTCTGCCGTTTCTGACCCTTCAGCTTCTACCCTATGCCGGGAAGCGAGGACTGGCGCCTGCCAGGGACAGGAGGCCCATCCAGGCCCTTGAGGCCACCCCCCCTGGGATCCTCAGGCTTGTCACTAGGAATAAATAGCCTCGCCTCGATCTGGAGGGCATGCGGGAGGGGGGGTTGGAGGGGGGGGGAAGGCTCTGTTGTGCAGTTTGCAAAACAAGAGACAACAAACTAACCCTGGAAATAACCTTTGCATCTCTGCAGTGATTCAGATGGCCAGAGAGGCTCCCCTGATCCACGTCTGCATCCAGCCGAGCCTGCGCTACAGGGATTAAGACCCTCCGAGGCTGGTGAGGACCCTTCCCTTCTGTAGGATGGGTCTGGTTCGCAGGTTCTAAGACAGTCGCCAGGCCAGGGTTTCTTCCAGAATTAAACGATTGCTTAAACGTTGTTGATTCTTAAATTGCAAGTGCCATGAGGGCAAAGGTTGGGTCATTTGGTTCTTGCATTCCTGGTATCTACTACAGTGTTTGGCATGCAATACATGACGAATGAATGACACATGCTGCTTTAATCTGGAGCCCCCCACCACTCTCTGCCGTGCTCCTATCCGGAGTCCAGCGGGTGAAAAAGGACAGTTAGTGGGTCCTTCCTCTGGGACTTGTCACCCAGGTCTAGGGAATTCTCTTATCTGGAGGGATGCAGGGCACAAGTCTTCCTGGTTGGAGTGGACAGCAAGAGGGGTTGGTCAGTTCTGGGATAAGGTGAAGACTATGATTGGGAGTTGGCTGGTTTTATGTCAACTTGACACAAGCTAGAGTTATTTGACAGGGGGAACCTCAAGTGAGAAAATGAATTCATAAGACCAGGCTATAGGGGGCTGGAGAGATGGCTCAGAGGTTAAGAGCACTGGCTGTTCTTCCAGCGGTCCCGAGTTCAATTCCCAGCAACCACATGGTGACTCACAACCATCTATAATGAGTTCTCGTGTGCAGGTGTACATGCAGGCAGAACACTGTATACATAGTAAATAAATAAATCTTAAAAGAAGAAGAAGAAGAAGAAGAAGAAGAAGAAAAAGAAAGCCTGTAGGACATTTTCTTAATTAGTGATTGATGGGGGAGGACTCAGCCCATTGCCAGTGGAGCCATCCCTGGGCTGGTGGTCCTGGATTCCATAAGAAAGCAGGCTGAGCAAGCCATGATGAGTAAGCCAGTGAGCAGCACCCCTCCATGGCCTCTGCCTCAGCTCCTGCCTCCAGGTTCCTGCCCTGCCTGAGTTCCTGTCCTGGCTTCCTTCAATGATGGATCATGATGGGGCAGTGTAAGTCAAATAAACTGTTTCCTTCCCAACTTACTTTTGGGTATGGTGTTTCCTCACAGCAATAGAAACCATAAGGAGCCAAACAGGAGCCTTCAGAAAAGGAAGAGTCGTGAGCTGAGCGAGGAGTAAAGGTGCTTCATTTGGGGATCTTTGTTCTTTCCTTATGGCTTGAAGTGCTACTGAAGGTCTTTACCACGAGTCAGGACTGTGTGAGCCCAGACTTTGCACCGTTCCCTAAATACTTTACATATATGAATTCATGTAATTATCCAATAAACATATATATACATATATATATATGTATATATATATATATATGTGTGTGTGTGTGTGTGTGTGGTGTGTGGTGTGTGTACCTGTTCACCTGTGGGGCTCACATCTATGTGCCAGTGCTAGTGTACCTGTATGTTTGGGTGGAGTCAGTTCTCTTTTAAAAATGTCTTAGTGGGGCTAGAGAAATGGCTTAGTGGGTAAGACTGCTTGCTGTTAGCTTTCTAGCACCATGACCAAAAGCAAGTTGGAGAGGCAAGGGTTTAGTTCAGCTTACAAGTCCATATTACAGTTCAGGAACTCAGCCAGGGCAGTTACCTCGAGGGAGGACCTGAAGCAGAAACCATAGAAGAACTTGGTTCTTACTGTCTTCTTTATCACGACTTTCTCAGCCTGTGTTTTTGTTTGTCTGGTTTTTGGTTTTTGTTTTTTATACCACCCAAGACCACCAGCTCAGGGATGACACCATGCACAGTGAGCAGGGCCCTTCTACCACATCACTCATCAATTAAGAAGTGCACCACAGGCCAGGCTACTGGGCACATTTTAAAAAATGAGGTTCCTGGCGGGTATGTTGGTACACACCTGTAATCCCAGCACTTTGGGAGGCAGAGGGAGGTGGATCTCTGTGAGTTCCAGGCCAGCCTGGTCTGCAAAGCAAGTCCAGGACAGTTAGGGCCATACAGAGAAACTCTGTCTCGAAAAACCAAAATAAATAAACAAACAAATAAATAAGTTGAGGTTCCCTTTTCCAGAATTACTCTAGTTTGTGTCAGAATGACATAAAAACTAGCCGGTATCCTGCTCCAGAGGACCAGCATCTATGTCTGGCACCTCAGGGCAGCCTGTAAGTCCAGCTTCAAAGAAGCTGATGCCCTCTTCTGGCTTCCTCAGTTACCAGCACACAGGACATTCATTTACACAAACACAAACACAAACACATAAATAAAAATAATAAATAAGTTTTAAAATTTGTACACACGAACACACACAAATGCATGTGTATACATACACGGAGGAAGTCAGGGACTACTTGTGGGAATGAGTTCTTTTTCCTTACCATGTGGCTTCCTGGGGATAGTCAGGCTTGGGGGGGGGGGGGCGGCGAGTGCTCTTACCCACTGAGCCATCTTGCTGGCCCTGGAGTCAGTTAGAGTCTGCCAGCATGGGTTTAGGTCATGACTAAGGTCACCAGGCTCTCCCAGCCAGTGTTTTTACCCTCACTGAGCTGTCTCACCAGCCCTAAATATACATTTTTAATCCTCTTCTCAAAGGTGAGAAAATAGTACTTGCTTCAGCAGCACAGATACTAAAATTGGAATGATACAGAGATTAGCATGTCCCCTGTGCAGTGATGACATGAAAACCCATAAAATATTCCATATTTTAAATTTTTTTATGACTTATTTATTTTATTTTATGCACATCGGTGCTCTACATGCATGCATGTCTGAATGGTTGTGCCAGAGCCCCTGGAACTGGAATTACAGACAGTTATGAGCTGCAAAGTGGGTTCTGGGAATTGAACCCCGATTCTTTGGAAGAACAACCAGTGCTCTTAACTGCTGAGCCATCTCTCCAGCCCCTTTAAATAAAATTTTATTGTATAACTATTTGTCCTGTTAAAAATCAGTTAACCTGCCACAATGACAACAACAAAATAAAACAAAGATGGGAAAATCGAGGCTGGGCCTGTGGTGGTGTACACCTTTAATCTTAGCATTTAAGAAGCATAGGCAGGCAGATCTCCATGGGATCAAGGCCAATCTGCTCCACATAGCCAGCCAGGACTGCATAGTGAGACCTTGTACAGAAAGAGGAGTTAGGAGAGGGATAGAGAAAGGGAGCACAAATACATTAACTGCCAAGAATGGCAAAGTCAGGGTTGAAACCCAAACTGCCAAATGTCAAAGCTTGTCATGGTAAAAGTGATCCTAATCATTACTTGGGCAGTCATTGAACCTCAAGGTAAGGCAGTCTCTTCCTCAAGGATACCATTGTGGAGGACTGGATAAGACCACACAATAAGTCTCCGTAGGTGGGAAGCCCTCCCCTCCTTCCTTTTCATGGTCAAGAGTTAAAATTCTGCTGTTAGAGCCTGGCAGCATTAACTCAGCACTCTGGGAGGCAGAGTCAGATAGATCTATGTGAGTTCGAGGCCAGCTTGGCCTACAAAATGAGTACAGGACAGCCAAAGCTACACAGAGAAAACCTGTCTCAAAAAACAAAGACAAACAAACAAAAAACAAAACCAAAAAGATTCTGCTGTTAGGGCTTAGAGTCTAAAGGTCAGAGGAAGTTAAGAAATCTTTGGCTCTGTCCAACCTTGGGGAAGGGGGGACAGGGGGGCTGTGCCCTTTCTCCTCTCTATTTCCAGTGGGCTCACATTTCCCTGCTCACTTTTTTTCCATTGGCCCAGAAAGACGTGCCCCAGGGAGTTCAGGGATCAGCCTCCCTCGTGGACTCTCTGTTCCTGTTCCCCATCTGTCTTCTCCCCCTTCTTGAGAAACAGGTGTGTCTGAGCCAGAGCTGAGTGCTTGACGACAGGCTTTGGTTAAATGAGATGTTTGTTCCTTCCCCTCTGGGAGATCCGTACACATGCTTCCTTGCTTCAAACTCAGGGAGCCCCATCTTGTCTTCTTACCTTGCAAGAGTTTTCAAAAGAATGTTCCGGGTCTCTTCCACCAAACTGCTCATGGCTTCCCTGGGTGCTGAATCACTCTCCAGTGCCTGCAACCACAAGCCCTCCTTCCTCCTAGGGAGAAATACCCTTCCTTCCCTGGGTATATTGCTCACTCTTAACTCTTCAATTCCCAGAGCCCTTGCAGACCTCAAGCTTAGTAAACACCCTCTTTCAACTTCCTTAGAAACTTTGTTGGTGCTCTCAAGCCCAAAAGGGTGTAACAGAGGGTGAAATGAATGACTGGCAGAGTGACGGGAAGGAAGCAGAGAGAGCTGAGTGTAGGTCCCATGTGTATGGTAGTTATCACCTCTTTTAGTCTAAAACACATGCACAAGCACACACACACAAACCCATGTGAACTGGTTACCTGCTATCACTTTTCAAAGATTTGATGATATGGCTCTAAATGCCAAGCTAATGGATGGTAGTTGTACAGTGACAATCTAGGGCTACCTCTAGAGTCTCCCACCTTCAGGGAGACTCTGATGGCTTCCCCAGATGCTGCTGGTCACTAATACTTCTTCAGGGGACAAGGCAGGAGTGGATACAGCCGCCATCTGGTCATTCTATCAGAGAGCTAAACTTTTTAAGATGAGGCTGGAAAGGTGGTCCCAGACTAGATCATTAAGTAACTTTCTTTCCAAGGATGACAAACAAAATGGAATTTTCCTAATGCATGTGGACCTAACTGGGCAAAGATTAAATGTGTTAGAGGCAGGAAAAAAAAAAAAAAAAAAAGCCTTTTCATACTGTGATCTTTTTCATACCCACTTGTCCCCTGGACTCTCTGAAGAGGGTTTCCATGGCATTTTTCAGCTAGAGAGATGATCAGTGTCATGTAAAATGGATGTTAAGTACAGAGTCTGTTGAAGCCTTCGTAGTGGTGCACACCTTTAACCCCAGCACTTGGTAGGTTGGTCTCTGTGAGCTGGAGGACATAGCCTGGTCTACATAGTGAGCTCTAGGGCAGCCAGAGCTACACAGAGAGATCCTGTCCCAAATACAACAAAACAAAAACAAAAACAAAAACAAAAACAAAAAAGAACCCTCAGAATATTAGCCTCATGTAGTGGAAACGAATCCAAATACCAACAGAGGAAATAAGAGTGAGAGAGAGGGGAGGAGAGAAGGAGAGAGACAGAGCAAACAGCCCCAAATGCTGCTGTGATGCTTTGCTGGGGCCAAGTCTCTCTTGTGCTACTCAGAGGCAGCTTTAGTGATGATAAAAATAACACGGATCGCTGGGTATGCTAGTGCTCACTTGTAACCCCAGCACTGTGCAGACTCAGATCACTGTGAGGCTCAGGCCAGTGAGTCTAGTGAGTTTCAGTGCAGCCAGGCCTGCACAGGTAGTTAGATCCTACCTCAAAACACCAAACCAAATTAGACTAGGCCAAACCCAACCAACTCGAAAAATAGGAACTAAACAATTTATTGTAAACCGGCTAACAAATAAATACAGATCTAAGCACTTTAAACATGTCACTGAAGCCTCACAATCTTGTGGGTATAGTATTGTTTTATTATTTTACAACTAGATGAGGATACCAAAAGTCAGCAAAATTAACTTTCCTTGGTTAGGAGCAGAGCTGGGATCAGAACACTCCCTCTCCACAGCCCACGGCTCTATCCGTCACATTCCTTACTACCTTGCGCTAAGCCTGCCAGTCAGCCATTTCTTCAGTAGTTGTGAGGGACCCAGAACTTTCCTGCTATTAGATGATTCTCTTCTGCGTTGGTTATAGGTACAATTCTGCAACCCAATGCCTTTGACAGTCCGATGAGCAAGACCAGTGTCTATTATTATCTTCGTTTTATGGGTTAGAAAAAATGATGCTCGTTAAAGTCAAGAAATCTGCTCAAAGTCACACAGCCAGTAGTCAGCAGCAGAGCCAAATGTGGTTTTAAAGCACTCTTTCTAATATACTGTAAAGCAGCCGGTATTTCTAGCATTTTTCTTTCTTTCTTTTTTTTTTTTTTTTTTCCTTTGGCGGGATTTCACTATATAGCTCTGGCTGGCCTGGCAATCACTACGTAAGACTAGGCTATCCTTGAACTCACATTAACTAGTAAGCTTCTGCCTTCAGAGTCCTGGGATTAAAGGTGTGAGCCACTAGTCTATGCTCTACTTATAATTTTAACCCAGACCAAGTCGCAGGTGATAGCACATGCGCACACGGAAGCTGAGCTCAGCCAGAGGGCAGTGCCAGCCACGTGTTCCCAGATGCCAATGTGCGGCAGAGTGAAGGCTAGGACTTGAAACCAGCGGATGCTCTCCAAGGAGGGAGCGCGGAAGGAATCACGAGACTCTAGCTTTGAAAACTACATTTCCCAGAAGTCTCCTGTTCGGGCCGCTTGAGCGGGGATGTATTTCTGGTAAGGCAGGCTTCTGATAGGCTGCATAGCTTGCGGCTGGGCCTGTTTCCGGTAGCCTCGGCAGAACCGGCGCCTCAGGTAGTGCTGCTTCGGCGGTGGAGTTTGCTGAGTGTTTTCTGGACTTCAGGAGGCATGTCGGCGGCTTTTCGCAAGGCAGCCAAGTCCCGGCAGCGGGAACACCGAGAACGAAGCCAGGTAGGTCCTCGCAGGCCCCACGGGCGCCGACCGGTGGCCTCCGCCCCCTCCCTTTCCCAGCGTCCGGATGCCGGCTAGCGCATCTGCCTTATGTAAATACCCGACACGTGGGGCCCGACCCGGCGTCCCTTGGTGGGGAGACCCGGGAGGGACTGTCGTCGGGTTAGGGAGATTGTCATTCTCTACGGTAAGAGGCTCAGTGGTTAACTGAGTGAGGCGAGGTGTGCCAGATGCCATCTTCTGGAAAATTGAGGCCAAAAGTTAAAGGAATGTAACCGGGTGACCAGCGGTGGTAGGCGCCCCGCATCCGACTCGTGCAGGAGTCGTGACCGAAGATAGGTTCCTAAAGTGGGCCCGACTCCTGGCGTGAGATTTGTGGTTCGTTCCCATGCTTCACCCTGAAATCGTGGTGCTTTCTCTCTTCTGGAGAGTGACTTGACCGTTTATAAACCCGGTAGCACCTGAGAGCCCAGGTCTGTATTGACAGCTACTCTAGAGGCCAAGGCAGAAGGATCACAAATTCAAGGCCTCCCCGGGCAACTTAGACCTGTCTCAAAATGGAAATCTAAAAAAAGCAAAAATTCTAGACATACAACTCAGTGGTGAACTTTTTGCTTAGCAAGTGCCAGGCAGTAGATTTAATCCCCGGTAGGAAGAGAGAAAAGAGGAAGGCCGTCTCCTATTGAATAGAGTTAGAATAAATAATTGTGGGGTTTCTGAGGAGAATGTGTCAGTGTGGGTTATGTGAACGAAAGAAAGATGTGTGCGGAGCCACTTTCCACTTTACTATTCTCAGAAACCACGTAACTGGTTCAAACAAAGCTTTAGCGGCTGGAGAGATGGCTTAGCCATTGAGAGTACTTGGTTGCTCTTTGAGAGTTCAAATTCCAGCACCCACATCGTGAGCTCACTAATATCTGTAACTCAACTTTAGGAAGTCCAACAATCCTTTCTAGCCTCCATGGGCTCTGTACTCACATGCACACACATACATATTAAATCTTTCAATTTTTTAATTAAAAAATAATTAGTGCATCCGAGTGCGTATGTCTGTGGGAGCTCATCCTGGAGCTGGGGTTTCAGGAACTTTTGACGGGCCTGATATGTGATGTATCCTGAGTGGGTGCTGGGAAATGAACTTGGATTTTCTGGAGGAGAAGAATGCTTGTAAGGAACTGTTAAGCCATCTGTTCAACCCCTAAAATAATTTTTTTTTTTTTTTTTTTTTTTTTTATGAAGGTCAAGAGTTTAGGGTGGGGCTGGAGAGATGGCTCAGAGGTTAAGAACGCTGGCTGTTCTTCCAAAGGTCCTGAGTTCAATTCCCAGCAACCACATGGTGGCTTGTAACCATCTATAGTGAGATCTGGTGCACAGGCAGAACACTGTGTACATAACAAATAAATAAATCTAAAAAAAAAAAAAGAGTTTAGGGTGATCTGTAGCTCAGCAAAACAAAATGGGTTGGTAAGATGGCTCAGCCAGCAAGTAAGTGTGCTTGCTGCCTCAGCCTGGTGACCTGAGTTAGATCCTCAGAAATCATAGAAAAGTGGAATGAAAGAATGGATTCTTTTTTTTTTTTATTTGAATTTTTGAGATTATAACTTAATTACAACATTTCTCCCTTCCCTTCCTCACTTCCAAACAGTCCCATATCCCCTCTGCTTGGTCTTTCAATTTCATGGCTTCTTTCCTGAGAATGGACTCCTGAGAAATTGTCCTCTGTCCCCCGTATATGCTGTGGCGTGTGTATCCACATATGTATATACACAAAATTAAACCACAGTACCAACAAACAGAACCCCACATCAGCAACCAAAGAGGCCTTTAGAGATCCCTGCTTTACAGATGCTGAAGAAAAGGAAGGACATCGTCTCTGAAACCGTGCAATTGGCTGATGCTGTAGAATTGAGACATACATATATCTTTTAAAAATTCTTTTTTAAGCACACACCTTTAATCCCAGCACTCGGGGGAGGCAGAGGCAGGCAAGTAGCTGTGAGTTCAAGGCCAGCCTGGTCTACAGAAGGAGTCCAGGACAGCCAAAGCTACACAGAGAAACCCTGTCTTGAAAGAAAAAAAAAAGAAAAAAATTATTTTACTGTTGATATTAGTCAGAAGGCTGCGAAGTGGTAGCACAGTCTTTATCACAGTTCACTTTTCCTGTTTAATAGCATTTATTAGAGTGTATGCTTAGTGGAAGCAATATTATACATGTAGTAAAATTTTTTTATTTTACATGTATTTTACTTAACCGTGTGTGTATTGGTGCCATAGCTTTGTGGAGGTCAGAGGACACCTTGCAGGAGTCATTCTCCAGGTTGACACTCAAGTCATTAGACTTGGTGGCGAGTGTCTTCACTTTGAGTCACCTCAGCAACCTCACAGCAGCGTTTTTTAGCATCTTGTTTGTGAGACTGTATGTGGACCTATCTAAAACCAGTAGTAACCAGACCTTGAAGTGTAAATGTCTGACTCTCACTGCTACTTAACTCAGAGCAGCTGTATAGAAGCCGGTTATTATTTCCTTGAGGAAATGAAAGATGGGTTGAGTACTTTGCCCAAAGGGGTCCAGCTAGAGCTGGCATACTGCAAAACTGGAAATTGTATCAGGTGTTTCAAGAATATAGAGGCAGTTTTATAAGAGGTGGCACATTAAAAATGCCAGACATGAGGGCTGGAGCGATGGCTGGGTGGTTAAGAGCACTTGCTGCCCTTCCAGAGTACCCAGATTTAGTTCCTAGCACCCATATGGCAGCTCACAACTATCTGGTCTAGGGTGTCTGAGGTTCTCTTCCGGCCTCCTTGGGCACTAGACACATTTTATGTACACAGGCATAAAAGCAAAACAGTCATACACATAAAATAAAATAAAAAAAAATTAAAGTACTAGATGTGGAACATGTGGAAAGGGTAGAATAATGATCATTGTGGTGAAACAGTTGGACTTGTGAATCAGTTTCCTCTTGACGACAAAGTTTTTTTTTTTTTTTCCCCTGAGACAAGGTCTCCCTATTTAGCCTAGACTTACCTCAGATTCCATTTGTGATCCTTCTGCCTCAGCCTTGTGGATGCTGATATTACAGTACATTCTGCTTGAAATGGTCACCTTTTGAGCATCCTAGGAATAGCCTTGCATGCTGAACAAAGATTGTCTACTAATTCCACAGTGTCCTTAGGAGGTAGATATTATTACATTTTACAAATTAAAAAATTAAAAACCTGGTGCTTGAAGAGTTTTTTGCTGTTGTTGTTGTTGTGTTTTGTTTTTTTCTTTTTTAATTTATTTTATGTGCATTAGTGTGAAGGTGTCAGATCCTTTGGAATTGGTGGTATAGACAGTTTTGAGCTGCCATATGGGTGCTGAGAATTGAACCCAGGTCCTTTGGAAGAGCAGACAGTGCTCTTAACTACTGAGCCATCTCTCCAGCCCCCTTGTTTTTTTTCTTGAGACAAGGTTTTTCGGTGTAGCCTTGGCTGTCCTGGACTCACTTTGTAGACTAGGCTGGCCTTGAACTCACATTGATCTGCCTGCCTCTGCCTCCGCAAGTACTGGGATTACAGACATGTGCCACCACACCTGGCTAAAGAGATTAAATTTCACATCTAAAGTCACTGTTAGAGATAGTTGACTTAGGTTAATATAGAAGAAAGGGATTTTAAGACAATGCCTGAGTTGCTTCTGAATTTGAGTTCCCAGTGTTTTTCTGTGTCCTTGTGAGGCAGTGGCCACATTTGATGCTTTGTGTAGAGGAAGGTGAATGTGTAAACCGATTCACATGTAGGTTCTCTGTAATGCACGTGGACATTCATTCACACATAAATGATTTTAAGACTGCTACCTCAGTGTTGTTCCCTGACCTTTGAAATTTATTTCTCTGTTGGTCTCCCTTTGCTGTATTAAAAATAGAAGCTAGTGGTCTGGAGAGATAGCTTAACAGTTGGGAGCACTAGCTGCTCTTCCAGAAGACCCAGGTTCAGTTCCTGGCACCCACATGGTAGCTCACACCTGCCTGTAGCTCCAGTACCAGAAGATCCGACACCCTCACTCAGACACATGCAGGTAGAACACCAAGGCACATAAAATAAAAATAAATCATTAAAAAAGTTTTGGGAATAAAAAAAGCTATCATGGGTGCTAGAGAGGTGGCTGAGCACTTACTGCTCTTGCAGAGGACCCAGGTTTGGTTCCCAGCACCCACATGGTAGCTCACCACCACCCACAACTTTAGTTTCAGGGGATTTGGTACTTTTGTCTATTGAGGGCTCCAGGCACTCATGAGGTAGATACATGTATGTGCAGGCAAAATGTTCATCCTCTCTGTCCCCCTCCCTTTTTCCTGTAGCCCTGGCTATTCTGGAACTTGCTATGTAGACCAGGATGGCCTGGGACTCAGAGATCCACCTGCCTTTGCCTCCTGAGTGCTAGAATTAAGGGCATGTGCCATACAAATAATTTTGAAAAAAATCAGGGAAGTCTTTTTTGAGACAGTATTTCACTAGGTAACCCTGGTTGGCCTAGCACTCTGTGTAGACCAGACTGGCCTTGAACTCAAGGAAATCCCCCTGCTTCTTATCTCCTGAGTACTCTGAGTGCTTGGGCCACCACACAGTTGAAAAAAAAATTTAAATTACATTTACTTATTGGCCTGTTGTGTCTGTGTGTCTGTGTGTGTGTGTGTGTGTGTGTGTGTGTGTGTGTGTGTGTGTTGGGCAACCATGCCAGGGAGTGGTTATAGAGGTCAGGGACAACTTGTGGGGGGTCAGTTCTTCCATCATGTAGGTTCCAGGGGATCAGACTTAGGCACGGTGGCAGGCATGTCCCTTCTGAAGCATCTTGCCATCCCTAAGTTGTCATTTTATACCTTGGTTATGTTATCCCTTGAAAGATAAAGAGATGACGAAGGTGACTGTAAGAATCCCATTCAAGTTATTATCCCAAGCTCAGTAGAGAATAAATGTGCAGCCTCAGGAATCAAGGTTGTTCAGAGGAGTGGGTGCAGTCATACAAATCTATTATCCTGGCACTTGGCAGGGCAAGGCAGGAGGATTGCAAGCCCTACCTTGAGTAACAGTGAGTTCCAGGCCAGCCTGGGCTCTAGAATGAGACCCTGTCTCCAAAGAAAAAGAAAAAAGACCATTCATCATCATAGCTTGTGGGAGGCTGAGGCAGGAGGTCCTGAGTTTGCAGTCAAGGAGGGCTGTATGAAAACTTGTTTCCAAAACCAAAGCCAAAGAAACATTGCACAGAGCAGAAAGATAGAGTATAGCGGGCTTTGAAATAGCCTAGCTGCAGACAGAAGGGCTCTAGTTTTAGCTTTGGGGCTTACTGGTACATGTAGCTAAGGAAGACCTTGAACCTTTTGTTTTGTTTGAGACAGGGTTTCTCTGTGTAGCCCTGGCTGTCCTGGAATTTACTATGTAGACCAGAGAGGCATCCAACTCACAGAGATCTGCTTGCCTCTGCCTCCAGAGTGCTGGGATCAAAGGGTCTGTGACCACCGCCAGGCATCCTTGAACTTCTGATCAGCCTGCTTCCTTTCTTCCTGCAAGGATTACAGGTATATGCCACCATGCCTGTTTTTTTTTTTTTTTTAATCTTTTTATTTATTTTTATTTTTATTTTTACCATGCCTGGTTTATGTGGTGCTGTGGATTGAACCTGGGGACTTTTGCATGCTAGGCAAGTGCCCTAGCAGCTGAGATACATCCCAGCCTTGGTTCTGCATTCTTGACTATATTCTCTAAATGTCACCCCCCTTCGGGAGAATATGTTTTACTTTTTCGTAATGTCATAAAGATGAAATAGGAATATGCAACAAGCATAGCACATTGCTTTGGAACTGAGTAGGTACGTAATCGTGAGCTGTTAAGATGATACAGGTAGAGGGCATGTAGCTCAGTTGGTAGAGTACTTGCCTAGCATGCTAGAGGTTCCACATTGATCTTCAGCATTGAATAAAAGCCAGCTATGGTGGCATACACTCTGCAGGTGGAGGCAGGAGGATCAGGAATTCAGGAAGGCAGAAGGATTATGAATTGACTGTCTCAAAAGCCTTCTGCCACAGCAAAAAGTTGGGAAAGTGTCTCATATAGATACACATATTTTATACATAAGTCTCATTTAGCTTAGGCTGGCCTTGGACTCCTGACCCTCCTCTTCCATTTCTCAAATTCTGGGATTATAGGCATGTACCAATTTAACCTGATTATGAAGCACTCAAAGTAATGGTAGCTTATACAAGGATATATCAGGATATAGTCATTGAACCCTGCATGCTATAGAGGATTAGGTCAGAAATAATACTTTTCCGTGGTACTTGGTTTTGTCTGTATTTCTTTAAAATTGTTTCTGGTCTTAGTATATAGCCTTGAGCTTGCAATCCTCCTGCCTTAGCTCCCAAGTGTCAGGATTGTAGGCAAGCCCCATTTTACTCAGCTGCACTGTTCTTATTTTATAGTTAGGAAATGACAGCCCAGAGGCATTAAATGATTTATTTGCCCAAGGTCATAGGTTGTTACGAGGTGAAGCATGGCTTGAACCCAGGTCTGGAAACTAAATTTAGCTCCCTTACCACAGTTGCCTCCTGTTACTATGTTTTCCCATCGTAGTATTTTGTAAGCCCTTGGATTAAGTTGGTAGTAATTTTAGTACAGCTGGCAACTGCTTGCTTAATGCCGAGTCATTGTTGCCTCTCTCTGTCCTTAATAGGCCAAGAAACCTACTAAGGTGGTGCTTGTGACCTGTCTGGCTTTAGGATATGCCCTCTCATCCTTGGGCAGGGCCCATAAATAGGAGGAGGGAGGAACAGGGTAGTGGGTTGGCTCCAAGGACACAGATTTACTGAACACTACAGTCTGGTTTCTGTCAGGTGTCATGTTGCTTTGAGCATGTGTTTGCTAAGAGAACTAAGTGCTTCTTTTTCCTTTTGTCTTCCAGCCTGGCTTTCGAAAACGTCTGGGTTTGCTGGAGAAAAAGAAAGATTACAAACTTCGTGCGAAGTGAGTCTGGTATTTCTCGTATAGGTTCTGCCAAGAAACTTACAACATCCTCGTACTACAGCTAAAGTGCCTAAGTGTCTAACCGGGGAATGATTTCCTGCCATTGATAAAATGCCCAAAGCTCTGGCAGCCTGTTAGGTATTTTCCTGTGACCCCAAGCTTCCCTTTGGACAGAACATTACTTATTTAGGTACTTGCACTGTAATTGCTTTTATTATGCCCTTCCAGATGGTTTTCCCAGTGGCATTGATTTGCTTCCACTTTGGTGTTTGAACCAAATGCTGAATCTTTTTGCTCCCTTTTCTGGAAGTGAAATATATAATCTAAAATTCTGATTGTTGAGTCTCTTACATCATTATATGTGGTGTGGAATGAAGAGATATGAAAGATGGATTCATGAGTCTGAGAGTGGGTGATGATGAACTCTGAAAACATTTCATAAAACAATCATGTCCATTCTTTTCTTTAGCACTTCATTTGCAAAGTGCTTATAATTGCTTATTAGTGTACAAGTCAGCTGACGTTCTTTTGCTCCAGATGTGGTGGGTGGCAATGATTAAATGGATTTCTCTAGGTTCCAGATTTTAATTTTTTAAAAATTTATATAGCCCCAGCTGGCCTGACACTCACTGTGTGAATCAGTGTGACCTCAAATTTACAGTGATTCAACGCTCTCTGTTTCCCCTGGTGTATGCCTATGGAGGCCGGAAGAGTTAGTTCTTAGTTGCCATGTCTGTTCTGGGAATTGAACCTGGGACCTTTGAAAGGACAGTCAGTGTTCTTAACCACTGACCTATCTCTCCAGCCCCACAGCATTTTTCTTTTAATGTAATTTAATTTTTTTTTTAAAGACAGTCTTTTTGTGTAGTCTAGTCAAGATCTCCTATCTCGGCCTCTCTAGTCCTGGGATTACAATTTTACATGTCATGCCTGGCTGGTAGCAGAGCTTTTTGTTGTTGTTGTTTTGAGTCAGGTCTTTCTATGTAGCTTTGACTACCCTGGAACTCACTCTGTAGACCAGACAGGGCTCGAATTCAGAAATCCACGTGCCTCTGTCTCCCGAGTGCTGGGATTAAAGGGATGTGCATCCTGGCTGTCATACCAGAGCTTTTAAAGCAAATTGTAGGACCTGAGTACTGTCATTGTTGTCCTTTTTGTGGTGGGTGGGAAATGAGACTTGATTGTAGGGCTTTCGCATTCGAGAGACGCTCTCCACCAGTGAGCCCAGGCCCGAGTACTATGGTTGGGTCCTTGGAGGTAGAGTTCGTATGTTTGTTTATTCTTTCCAACAGCCTTCTGGGGTAGGTTACTATTATACTCATTTTATGTATGAAATTAGGATTAGAATAGTTATTCAGCTTACCCAGGCTTACTTAGCCAGAAGTAGTGGAGCCTGGTACAAAACCACCCGCTATGGCTATGGAGGTCACCGCTCTACTTGTTCTGCTGCACTGAGTGGTGTCTGAATCATGGCAGTAGCTGAGTGCTGAAGCTTGTACTACAGTCCTTTAGAAGGAGTTTTTTTATTATTATTATTTTAAATGTTTTTTTTTTTTAAAGATTTATGTGTTATGTATACAGTGTTCTGCCTACATGTATACCTTCATGCCAGAAGAAGGCACCAGATCTCATTATAGATGGTTGTGAGCCACCGTGTGGTTGCTGGGAATTGAACTCAGGACCTCTGGAAGAGCAGCCGGTGCTCTTAACCTCTAAGCTATCTCTCCAGCCCCATAAGAAGTTTTAAAGTTGTGCTTTACTTGGTGTCCTTTTGTAATGGTTTAAGTGACACTAACATGGAATGGAGATAGTTAATTTTAGGTCCAATTGGGACAGAGGGCTCCTAAGATTGTGGATCTTATGGAAAGCCTGACTCAGTCACAGTGGATCATGGAGCAGATCTGGTCACTGCTTTGGTTGTTCAAAATTTTTTGTTTTGGGCCTGGAGAGATGGCTCAGAGGTTAAGAGCACTGGCTACCCTCCCAAAGGTTCTGAGTTCAATTCCTGCCAACCACATGGTGGGTCACAACCGTCTATAATGAGAACACAAAACAAAATTTATTGACTGATTAATTGGTTTTTTTAAGACACAGCCCAGCCCTGGCTGTCCTGGAGCTCACTCTGTAGACCAAATTGGCCTTGAACTCACAGAAATCTGCTTCTCTACCTCCTGAGCACCAGGATTAAAGGCATGTGCAAAACAAAACAAAAAAATTTTATGTATTTATTAGGTATACAGTGTTCTGCCTGCATGTACACCTGCAGGCCAGAAGAGGGCACCAGATCCCATTATAAATGGTTGTGAGCCACCATGTGGTTGCTGGGAATTGAACTCAGGACCTCTAGAAGAGCAGCCAGTGCTCTTAACCTCTGAGCCACCTCTCCAACCCCCTATTATGAGCTTTTAAGTGCATGTAATTAGTTCATTTGTGTGGGTAGTTTTTCTCTTTTTCTTCTTTTGCAACACATTTCTTCTGACTTGCTTTTTTAGTGACTATCATAAAAAGCAAGATTTCCTCAAAGCTCTCCGGAAGAAGGCTCTTGAAAAAAATCCAGATGAATTCTACTATAAAATGACTCGTGTTAAGCTCCAGGTATGTGTGAAACAGATAGTCGTTTTTGGAGCCCTAAGTGTTGGGAAATAAAGATGGGGAATGAGTCAGAGTGAGGAAGCATCCTTGGTTTAACTTGACCCTTCTCCAGTTGGAGCAGGTTCTCCTGGTGAGAGGTCCAAGGCAGACTGTCCTTTTCCTGGTCAGCATGCTCCCACCTTTGCACCATCTTCTGTTTGTTTTTTGTTTTTCCATTTGTCTTTGTTGTGATATTTTGCAAATGGAACCCAGTACCTCTACATGCCAGACAAAGTGCTGGACCCCTTAGGACCACCCTAGCCTGCTCACATTCCAGCCTCTAGTTCAAAGAGTGACTGGAAGTGTGCTCTGTTCAAGGTGGAGGCCAGTGGCCTGAGGCCTTGGGCTCCTCTCAGTGTGCACGTAGCACTTGCTTGTCTTTGTTTTAAATATGGATCGTGTTAACAGTTAGTTACTGATGGTAGTAGTCTACTAAGGTATGTATCTGTTAAACCTTGATTTTAGGATGGAGTTCATATTGTCAAAGAGAACAAGGAAGAAGTAACCCCAGAGCAGCTAAAGCTGATGAGAACTCAGGATATCAAATACATAGAGATGAAAAGGGTTGCGGAAGCGAAGGTAACAGTTAACTCTATGTTTTGATGTCTTTGTTGGTTAAAGAAGGATATAGCAGATTGTGGTTGTGTATAACGATAATCACAGGAGGTGGAGGCAATAAGTATCCAGGCCCTGGTTTAAATAACAACAGTAAAGGAAACAATTCTGTAATTGGAAGTTATTAGCATATTCCACAGTCTACATTGTCTTTGGGTATGATGATATCTTATAAGTATTATCAGCAAGGAGTTCAGGTTTGAGCATGAGACTACTCTGGGAGGCAGAGTCAAGCAGATCTCTGTGAGTTCAAGGCCACTCTGGACTACAAAGCAAGTCCAGGGAAGCCAAAGTTGCACAGAGAAGGCCTGTCTTGAAAAAAACAAAACAAAACAAAACAAAAAAAAAAATAAAAAAGAGAGAGAGAGCAAGAATGAGACAAAGTAGGTTAAATTCTGCTTCTGTCAGTTTTTAGCCCCATGGTTCTGGACCAGTTAACTTCTTTGAGAGTGCTTATTTCTGTCATATATTTTAAATATTGAGTCTTGTAGAACGCCTAGTCTAGTTCTTGATAAATGGTTGGTGCTTAGTAAGTTTAAGGGCTTTCATTTATAAGAATCAAACTATTGAGAACAAAGTATTATGACAGACATATGTGATGATGCCACAATGAGAGTCAGTACCTAAAAATACCAAAAAGGAAAAAAGAATGAAATGATTTCTTTGCCGGCTGACAGTGAAGCCGTGAAGTGTCTTAAGTCCTTGCAAGTTTATTTCTGAGACTCTGGAAGAGCCCATTGTAAAGAGACCATATTCTTGTTGTAGAAAATTGAAAGACTGAAATCAGAGCTCCATCTGCTGGATTTCCAGGGGAAGCAACAGAATAAGCACGTGTTCTTTTTTGACACCAAAAAGGAAGGTATGAAATGTTGAAGGTGTCTGGGATGGTCTGCCATGTCACTGTGTGTTGTGTGGTGTTAGGGACAACCTGTGCCTTAAAGATTGTCTTGAATTTCAGTTGAACGGTTTGATATTGCGACCCACTTGCAAACGGCCCCAGAGCTAGTTGACAGGGTCTTTAATAGACCCAGGATCGAGACCTTGCAGAAGGAGAAGGTGAAAGGAGTTACACCCGAGACTCGACTCAAGGTATGCATCCTGTTTGCACTCAGAAGGGTACTTGGGGGAGTCTCAGTTTTTCTTTGTCTGTGGTTCTCTTTGGCCACTACATTTCATATATTATTTGTAGAAAACTTCTACAATTTCCCTGACGAAGTGAAAAAGAGGATTTGATGATGGAGATGGAAGTCTGTTTGTTTTGGAGGACATGTGACTTAGTGGTGAGGAGCTTAGGTTTTAGGTTTGAATCCTAGCTCTGATCTGGTCCTTTGTGCTTTTAATGGGTGTATCCTTTGCCAACATTTAGAAAATTTAGAGCAGGGAAGGGACATTAAAGTTTAGGGATATGTGTGTAGTACTTTGATCTAGAACCTTTAGCAGTGAATACACGTATTAAAATGTTTTCGTATTATTAGGTTATACCCAATATTTTGTATTGACTTTTCCTTATGGTGCTTTCTATCACTGGATTGAGATGACAGGCTTTTTCTCAAAACCTTCTGGAGTTGAACTCTCACTTCTGACTGATTCATTTAAAAAAAATGCTGTCAATGTGTTTCAAGCAGACAGCTGTTCTGTTTTGATTTGAATCATTTACACCGCATCAGTTTTGCTTCCAATGTTTAATTTCACAGCAGTTTCCTCTAGCTCAGAGGCAGCTAAACTTGCTTTAGTAATATAAATACCCCTAATTAGTTTGACTATATTGGGTAATCCCATAAATTTGACAGTCTGTGCAATAAAGTGAAAACAAAAGCTGTCTGCAACCACTGCTGTGAGACTGTAGTAGAGCTGGTGAGTTGTTGAAGTCTGAGGCCCAGTGCTAGTCCCCTCTCTGTTCGTAACACTTCAGCTGAGGAGCTGCCTGGGGGTCTAGTGATAACCGTGTTTGTCAGTTAGCGGAGTCACTGATGCTTGTCAGGTTGTATAGTGGTCCTCACAGACAATACAGGGTGGTCTGCCATCAAAGTGGTCACAAAGGAAAGAGGGTTTGGACCTGCTATGCTTGCCCAGTACCATTTAATGCCATTGCTTTGTTTAAAGCATAATTACTTTTATCAAGGGACTGTGCGGCTGGTGAATAGATTGTCAGTCTGCAACATGGAAGTGATAAAAAAAAATAAGTAAGCAAGTAAATAAATCTGTCTCTGGCTTGAGGAGGTCTGTGAATACCCACCCCACACTGAAATATTGTGCATATATGTATGTGCAGGCTTCTGCATGTGCGTCCATAGAGGTTGGACATTCTCAGTCCAAAAGAGCAAAGTCTGAAACCCTTCAAAATGTGTAATGTTTTGAGTGCTGATAGGAAACTACTAATGAGAAATTGCATACCTGACTTCATGTGATGGGCCACAGTTAAAATGCGGGCGGGCATGCTAAAAATACAGTGTAAAATTATCTTCAGGCTGTATATATAAGGAATACATGAAAAATAATGAATCTCTTATTTAGACTTGGGTTTTATCCCTAAATTATTTCATGTACATGCAGATATTCCGAGCACCCCCAAACTGAAAATCCAAACATTGGTTCCAAGTAGTACGGATGAGTGATAATCTGTATGCTATCTCAAAGAAGAAGCCAAGGTTTCTATTAGTTTCTCAGATACTTACAAGTCTCCAAAATGTAAGGGCTCCCATAGTTTCTGAGGGGTCCTTAGCAGTTGAGTCTTCTCAGGTCACCCGTGCTGAAAATCCTCCTGTGCTCTGTGAGATTTAGATTTAGACTCTGAGGCACAGCACACCGCTCATCAGTGGTCCTTTGGGTGGGTGCCGCCCTCAGCCACAATAACTAAGGCACTCAGAGGTTGAGTCCACTTAGTGTACCTCCGGGAACACTCTTGGAAGTTGGGGCTCAGGGCAGTCTGACTATGATTTAGCCAAACCGTCTACCCTTGGGCCAGTTGGTTTTCTCTCTGGGTTTCTGCATTTGTGAAATGATATTGATAGGGTACTTGGTTGCTTTCACTTATAAGATGTGCTATTTTTAAAGTGGGTATCTTTATTGTAATCATGTTGACTCGATTCTGGAATAAGGAGGGACTGGTGACACCATGATGTAGTTGGACTAAAGAACCAGGTTCTTACTCATTTTTGTCTTGGTAATTGCTTTATTGAAAATGAATGTTTCTTCCGTAGGGGATAGCTAAAGAAAGACAAAAGCAGTATGATTGCTTGACACAGCGGATTGAACGGGAGAAGAAGCTGTTCGTTGTTGCACAGAAAATTCAAACACGCAAAGATCTTATGGTAAGGAGAGGGGGCCTTGAGCCTTCTCTTTTTCTTTCTTTTTTTTTTTTTCCTTATAAAGGTCTTAACTGAGACTGGCTCTTGGCTGTGTGTAAATCAACACCAGTGAAAATGTCTGTTCCTTGGGGGCAGTGGTTTGAGCCCGTGTCTACTGCTCTGCCCCTGTTGAAATGTTCCTTGATTAAGAAGGTAATAAGGGGTTATTAGTCAGTGCCTTGGAGCAGCAAAGGGTAGGATCAGGTAGCATATGGACTTTATAGCCTAGGAGCAGCTCCCGTAACATTTAAACAGGTTAACAAAACAGTGCATGCCACTCACTGGGGTTTAAAAATAGACAACATTGTGCAGTTAAATAGCAGAGCGAAGGAATTTAAGAAGCTCTTTCGCATTATCATTCCTTAAATGTCAAATTCTTCAGCCTTGCAGATCATTTAGGTTGCCCTTTCTCAACTTGGGTTCCGCAAGAGAATTAAATTTATAATTTAAACAAAATAATTACTTGAGCTGCCCTCTCCTCAGTTTTCCCAAAGACTGCCCACAGCTGGTAGCATTCTGTGTGTTCCTGGGGAGATTAGGTGGCTTCGTGCAGTGGGCGCCCAAGGCTCCTTTGAACTTGGAGAAGAACTGTGTTGGGGCTTCCCTTAGCCGGCTCACTGACTTTGTGTCATGAACCCTGTGTGTGTTTACTGGACTTGTTCACTCTTACAGGATAAAACTAAGAAGGTGAAGGTGAAGAAAGAAACAGTGAACTCCCCAGCTATTTACAGATTCCAGACTCGCCGAAAACGTTGACGTGTTAAAAATAAGCCTCATCATTCTGCATTGAAAAGAACTCTTTTTTTTTTTTTTTCTTTTGTAATAACCTTAGACTTTATTAGTTCAAATGGCTTGGTTTTTAATTCTGACTTATTGTCAACCTGATATTTGATATCTTTCTATGAGAATAGTAAAGCACCTTCCCCAGTATCATTGTTTCTGTATTATGAATTCAGTCTCTTACATATAATACTTATTTTTCCCTATAAAAGTTATATAATCTTATAGAGCAAAGGAGAAAGTAGATGAATCCATTTCCATTCTCAGTATTTAAAAACAAGATATTTTTCTATATAGTAGGAGCTTGGGCTACAGAGCAGTTACTGTGGGTATTCTGGTTTTTGCCCCCATATGGGAGAGCGATATATCAGCTTTTGTTTATAGTCTTGTTTTCTCATTCTCCTTATAGTAAAAATTTATGTTCCAATTTTTAAATAAACCATTAGCTATATGCCATTTTTGTTACATTACTGAATTTTTTAAAAAGTAATATAAAACTATAGTAAAGAGTAAAATCTTTTTTGTGTGTGTGTTTGTGTTTGTGTGGGTACACACACATGGTGGTGCATGTGGAGGTCCTTGTCCAAGGACTGCGGGTCATCCCGTAGCATCAGTCCTTGTTTTGAGACACTGTCTCATTGGCCTGGAGCTCACTGATTCGACTAGGCCAGCTGGCCAGTGAGCCCTAGGCATCCGCCTCTCCTTTGTTGGGATTGCAAGTGTGGAATGCCACACCTGTTGGGGATGGTAAGTCAGGTGACAACTTGCTGGATTTGGTGCTCTCCTTCCACTATGTGGTTCTAGAAATCAAACTCTGGTTATCAGGCTTGGCGGCCAGTCGCCTTTACCTGATGAGCCATCTTATCAGCTCTCATACTTGGCTTTTAAAATGTGGGTTCTGGAGTTAGGTGGTGGTGGTGTATACCTTTAATCTGAGCACTTGGGAGGCAGAGACAAGCAGATCTCTGAGTTCAAGGCCAGCCTGATCTATATAGCCATAGACAGCCAGGGCTATACAGAGAAAGGCTGTCTCCAAAAGCAGCAGAACTGGCTTCTGGGAATCCAACTTAAATTCTCATGTTTACATAGCAACTGAACTGGACTTTTTTGTTTGTTTGTTTTTTGAGATGGGATCTCGTGGAGCCCAGGCTGATCTAAAATTAGCTGTAGCCAAGGGTGACCTTGAACTGGACCTTCCTGTCTTTATCCCAAGGGCTGGGATTACAGACATACCAAAACACCTGGCTAAAGAATCTGCTTTAAGGATTAGATGTTTTGTACAGTGGGGAGAGGGATCTTCATTATTTATTTGGGTTGCTTCATAAGTTGTCCGAGAGTCCATTTCTTCTCCTTACATGTGAAGATAGACACCCTTGGAAGGGTTCCTATTTGTTGAGGAAGCTCACACCAGAACACTAGGCCTGGCTCTGTTCCTGCCCACTGCTCCTGGCCAATTGCTGACTCCAAGGCTGTAAATGACTTCACCAAGAATACAGACCCCAGGCTATATGGAGCTGTTTTCTTCTCTTCCCTAGGTCCTACCCTTCCCTTCCCTGCCCATATATAGGGATGGTAGGCCGTGGCCAGTCAGAACAGGACTGAGCATGCTTACAGAAGATGTGGGAGAACTGAGAACAGGGTTCTGGGAGTCTTGTTCACACCCTACTTTCTGGAGGGGAATAGCCACATTGGTCTGATAGATTTTCTTTTTGCAATGTGTGTATGAGTGCTTTGCCTTAATGTTTACACTGCACGCATGCCTGGTGCCCTCAGAGGCCAGAAGAGAGTATAGGATCCCCTGAAACATAGCTGATTGTGAATACCGTGTGGGTTCTGGGAATTGAATCTAGGTCCTCTGGAAGACTAGATAGAGCTGTTAACCTCTGAGCATCTCTCCAGGCCCTGATTATTATTATTGTTGTTATTATTTTAAGTATTAAGTGACATGGCTCCTGGGTTCTTGCCTAAAGCCTACACTGAAAGCCTGTTTTCTTAGAATGCATACTATGGGAATCAGATCTGGGGACCCTGAAAACAAGAAAACAAGGGTCCAGAAGCTAACTTCTGCCTTTAAGAAGGAAGCCTTCCCAGGTAGAACTCAATTTGTGAAGGAGGTGCTAGGCTCAGTTAATGCCAGTCAGTGGTCAGAGTCTCAGACCATCAGTTCCATCAACAGAGATGTAGATATCACTGTTGGGAAACACTGGAGCAAGGTGAGGCAGGGTTTTCAGATGGTACCTGAAAAGAATCTGGCATGCTAAGGAGTTAACAGGCTGAGCAGGGGTCAGCAGCCACTGCTGCTCTTATTCTTAGCATTCCTGGATAGGAATGTGTGTGTGTGGGGGGAATTGGGATTATGCCCGGCCACCATCTCTTGTATTTACAGTTGTGAGCCTATCCTTTAACGGCTGAGCCATCTCTCCAGTCCCCCAGCCACCATCTCATAAAGTGTACACCCACACAAAAATACACAACACATCATGGGCTCTCATGTTAACAGATGCATGAGGTAGGAAGAAGTCAGGCCTCATAAACAGGTACGGACATATCCGTGCACCCACCCTCTGGGCACATACATACCAATGGAAATGCTTGAAGGGGCTTGGGCTCAGTCCAAAGGGGCCACAAAGTCCACTGTGTTTGGGGTACTCTTGCTTCCAGGCTGGAGGTAATCACAATTCAAGGAACGAGACTAGGTATTCTTGTTGCCTGTCTCTGGGACCCAAAGATTCTCTGCAAGAGCAGCAAGTGCTCTTAGTTGTTGGGCCACCTCTCAATCTCCTGTTTTTCTTGTTTGGCATAGTCTCATGTTAGCCTGGGCTGCTCTCAAACTTATTCTTCTGCCTCATCACAAGTGTTGGAGTTAACAGTTATAAGCCACTGTGAGGGCCGAAGAATTCTTTGTCTTTTTTTTTTTTTTTTTTTTTCTGGAGCTGAGGACAAAACCCAGGACCTTGCTTTTACTAGGCAGGCACTCTACCACTGAGCTAAATCCCCAGCCCTGGGCTCAAGAATTCCTAAGGGGAGAGATTGGTGGTTCCTTGTAACCCATCACTGGCTCCAGTCTTACGCATTCTGAGACTAGGCTGTAGCTTAAAGGCAGGACACTCACTGGAATGATCAGACTTGATAGGACAGGGAGGGGTTTGTGTTCTTTCCACCCTCCTTCTTAGGCCGGGGATGGTTTGGCCTGTTGTGTGCCACAGGGCTGCCGGCAGCCCGTGGAAGTGGAGAACTTTCCTGTGACTCAGTATTCTTGTTTGGTTCATGTCTTGCATAAGCCACATCTTCAAACAGCAGCCGCCTGAATTCTGCAGAACCTGTGGTTCTGTCCACGGGAGAGTCCCTGAGGCCAGCCCAGTCATCTTGTAGCCACATCTTAGGGCCCTTTCAACTAAAACAGGAGTGTGTCAAGGCCTTGTTTTAGTTTTCAATATAGGAATCTAATGCTGGCTGGGAAAGGGCCCAGCAGGTGGGGCTGCTGCCTCTTTGCTGGGCTGGTTATCAGCAAGCCTTTGTAGACTGCAGTAGCTTCTGCCAGAACCTCCTTGACCCCCAGAGATGCTGAGTACGGATTTGTTTATTGAACTTAATGCCACGGAAGAGAGCGCCGTGAAAAAAAAAAAAAAAATCTTTCCTTTTAGTCTGAATGTATCGTGGCTTTCTCACTTTTAACGAGGCTCCTGTAGGGACTATTAGGGTCTTTCCCAAAGCCTCAGGTTTCCCAGAGGTCTGTCCATCGGGATGTTGTAGGAGTTGTGTCTTTTTGTGAAGTTCTGAGGGTTGTCTTGTGGCTTGCTATCGCCCCGTGCTGCTGGCTGCAGGTCACTGAACAATCAAAGCTGCACGTCCTTCAGCAGGGGAAAGCAGCCAACATTCAGACTGCTTGTTCTGCCTGCCTGTGGAGGCCGGTGAGGCCAGGGCCTGTTGGGACTTGAAATCATGAGGCAGGAAGGTGTGTGGTTCTGGGCTCTCTTACTCCCAAAGTCATCTTAGCTTGCCAGTTCCCAAAGCCTCATGCGAAGGACACTGGGAAGGGCACAATGAGCCTTGGGTGGGAGTCCTGGCCCAAAGCCACAGAGGAATGGAGGTAAGCTGTCTAAGGCTGAGCTGGCAGGTTTCTTGGGCTTTGCAGCTGCCTTGTAGGGTCAGAGGGTGCACTCTCTAGCCAGCCAGGTCATGGGGTCTCCTTGCTGGAAGGGCTCCCACTGGCTTCTGGCTCTGTAGCAGAACAGATACTAGAGCACCAGTGCAACCAGGAAAGACTGCTCTTCCTAGTTCCAAGGCCCAGGGTGTCACTAAATGGTAGAGCTTTGGCCTAGAACATGCAAAGCCTGATCCTTAGTGTTGCCTTCCCAAGCCCAGGCCCGCTGCTGAGACTGCTGAGACTCAGGAGAGCAGAAGAGGCTGTTCTGGTCATGCTTCTACTTGCCTCCCCTAGATGGTCTGGCTAGAGGAAACAGCTCTCTGGCTGCTTCCGACTCCAAGTAAGGAATCTCCTTGTCTCCTTTTCCTGGGCTCAGTGACATGGCATTTTGGGAGGTCCTGTCTCAGTTATATGCCTTTCCTTGTTCATCTGCTCTGCCTAAGTCGATGGTCCTAGGAAAGGTGCTGGCCGTATCCTGTCATGTGAAGGAACACGCTGGGGCAGGGAGGTTGTGGCGTCCATCGGTCCCTGCCAGGTAGTAGTAGAGACTGCTCTAGAATAGAGCCAAGGATTGAAGCAGGGGCATGCTGAGTTTGGGGGTTTAAGGAAGGTGGGAAGGAAGCCTTTTCCTGTCTTCATTGTCACCTGATGGCCAGCTCAGATCATCAGTGTTAATGAAACCCTGGTGCCCGGAGGCAGGTGGGCACTCCCCTCCCTTGCCCTGAGCAGTCTGACTAATTTACAGCTTTTTTTTCCTTTCTTTTTTTTTTTTTTGTTACCCCAAAGGCTTCTCTCTGAGGTGACAAATGTGGGGGGTTGGTTTTCAGTTTCATGTTTTCACATTACTGGGTGGAAAAGGGGGGGAAAAAAAAACCAAAACAACTTTTGTATACCAAAAAAAGCAGTTCCTATAGAACAGACACCTCCTCCTCCTCGGAAGCACTGAAAAAGTCCCCCTTTGCTCAGGGACACAACCAGAGACTGAAGGGTTAAGAAGAAATGGCTGGAGCCTGGCTGAGCAGTGTCAGGGACAGCCCCTCAGGAGGCAGGTAGCACCTGCCATTCTGCTACAAGTTAGGGGAAGACCTTCCCAGGCTCCTCCAGCTCCTGGTGTTGTATCCCTTCCCGCAGGCAGTGCTAGATTACAGGTCAATCAGCTCAGGGTAAGGAGGGTCCAGAGTAGGAGGGAATTGTCTCTCTTCCTTCCTCAGCTGATTTGATTTTGAAGGTCTGGACTAGTGTCTCTCCCTGAGAGAGGGCTCTTTAGGTAGAGTGGTAGGTGGGAAAATACAGGGTCCATCTGGCACATAGAGACTTGGTGTGGGGGGGAGTGCCACCCCCTCCTGTCTCTGGCTGGTAGCATTATAA